GGGGGGGGGGGGGGGGTGAAGGTTCAAGCCAAAAATTAAACTTGGTCTTGTATTTGTGCTGTTCACATCCAACTTCTACTTCTCATCCCACAGTCATTTTCTGTTCCTTCCACCCAATCCATTAACTGTTTCTACTCAGTTTGATCCTCCTAATATATGTTTCTTCTGGTTCCACCATTACCATTTAAACTCGTAAGTCGTAACACACTATACACACAAATATATATATTGAAAGAATTAAAATACCTAGTTCAGCATAGGGCCAAAACAACCGTTTCACAGACAAGAATAGAGGTATGTCTGAACAGACAAGACCGGATAAAACCTTCGTTGCTCAGAGCCTTAAAACACTGACTGACAGTGATCGCCAAGTGGCAAACCCAAGAGTAAAACGTGTTGGCTTGAGATGAACGATTAATACTAAGATGGTGACTCACCATATCCTAGGGGGACCGCTTCTTAAAACTAGCCTTTGCACATACTTTCTCAAATACCTTTCACTCTTTTCAATTATCTCGAAAAGCATTTCAAGCAAAATGGATTTGCCGCACGTTTGGTTATGGACGATGCTACTCGCATGTGTGCTAGCGTGGATGATTTTCCACGTCAACAACCAAAGGAAAAAGAAGTCGATGTTGAAGGTTGCAGAGGCGGAGGCGGCCACAGAGGGGATAAGAGAAGGTGATGTTGACACTATCATCATCGGAGCTGGTGTTGGTGGCTCAGCTCTTGCCTACGCTCTTGCTAAGGTATACATGTTTTTACGTCCATATATTGCATTTGTGTCGACTTATATTCTTATTTACGAAAACACAAGAAAACAATAATTTTTCTATATTATTGTGCATAGTTTTTTTTCAGTGATTTAATTCTAGTATAACATTTTATTTGGTCCTACTTGTTTTCGATCATAGGATGGGTGTCGAGTGCATGTGATTGAAAGGGACATGAGGGAACCAGAGAGAATGACTGGTGAGGTTATGCAGCCAGGAGGACGCTTCATGCTTGCGAAGCTTGGCCTTCAAGGTATCTCGCTGTTTCTTTTACATATATGAACTTATCAGAAGAAAAACATAAGAAACACGTACGACATTTTTATGAACTTGGAGTCTGCAGCTAGTTCATTTCCGTATTTTTGGATGCCTTAGGCTACCGCTTGAGTCTAAACCGGTTCAATATTTTTAAATGTCATAAGCTAATATTTTCTTTTAAGAACATCATATTAATATTTTTGAGTTTTTATTTATTTTAGAGTACAGAAACACGTCAAAGAAATAAATAACCAAAGAAAAAACTAAACGAAAGTCATAAACAGATTCATCAAATCTGGTATGTAAACCAGAAACCGATTTATATAATATCAACAACATTCTTTTTTATATTTTTATCTAATATATATATATATATATATATATATATATATTTACAATATAAATCACATAGAAAACTTAGAAACTAATTTAATTTTAATGATTGATAAACATAATCTTATCAATTTAACTAAATAGAAATATTAGTCAGTGTCATCATAAACATTTCACTGTAGTGAATAACGAATTTAGTTTTTAATACAAAAATTTACATTTTTAAAACAATTAGTATTTGACGTTATGCTTATTCAATATATTTATGAGTAAAAGTTCTATGAATAAGGATAAAAATTTACAAATATTATTATTGAAAAAATAATTATAATTTATAGTTACATATAAATATTTTTATAAATAAATAAATAAATATCTCTGAAAGTTGGATGTTCTAAACGGTCATTATTTGGTTTAAGTTTTTAATAGACTACTAAAAAAAACAAAAATTTCAGTTTGAAAAAATAATTTGGTTAGAATTTGGTAAAATAATAATCAAATTCAAATATAGATGACATATAACTATATATATCATAATTTAATAGATTTGTGTCTTTATTTACGTGGATAAGTTATACTTGAGATGTAGAAAATGTTACAAATGAAGTTATAAGCCAATCGTGGTTTGGTTTTGATTGATTTTTGTTAGCAAATCGACCCCATAAGAAAAAAAAAATCAGTCAAAACCAAACCACAATTTGCTTATAACTTCATTTGTAACATTTTCTACCTCTCAAGTTCAACCTCATAAGATGTTTGAAAAAAAAAAAAAAATCGACCCCATAAGCAATATAAATATTTTGTGTGTGATTTTGTATACATAGATTGTCTGGAGAATATAGATGCACAAGAACTCGCGGGCTTGGCAGTTTACAAGGACGGGAAAGAAGGGGTTTTACCTTTTCCTGTGGAAAACAACACATTTCCTTATGAACCATCTGGTCGATGTTTTCACAATGGCCGATTGGTCCAACGACTGCGCCATAAGGCTTCTTCTCTTCCTAAGTATTTATCTCTCACGTCCTCGTTAACTAATTATAGTTCTGCAATATAGTGGTATGACTCAAGTTAACATAGTTCTACAATATAGAGGTATGACACTTTAACCGGGACTTAGTATATATACTTGGACATTTCGATTAATCAAAAGTAATCTACTATATATTTTGTTCGTTCACTTTCTGTGGTGTAACTAATGCGCTTTTTTAGATTGATGATAAGAAGTATTGGGATGAGTTGAAACTAACATTACAAGCAAAAACTGACACTTCTTATATAGGATAAATTAACTACAAAAGCTGTAGGATAATCCAGTTATAGCGATTTAGTTAATTTTTACTTTTATACAATTGTCAGTTAAATGATTTTGATTCTACCGTGAGATCTCATTTTAAGAAGTTATATCCGAACTCTATATGATAGTAAGTTAGAATATAATTTGGCTTTTTAATATAATATATTTTTTAATAGATATTTATCAGTTCACTTATTTTTCGACTAATTTGGAGATTGAATCCATTATATAACCTTAACTCACTGGCTTTATGGGCATTTAGTGTGCACATGGAAGAAGGAACTGTGAAGTCTTTAATAGAAGAAAAGGAAGTGATCAAAGGTGTGATATACAAGAACACTGCAGGCCAAGAAACAACGGCTTTTGCACCTCTCACCGTTGTCTGTGACAGATGCTATTCAAACCTTCGTAGGTCTCTTGTTGATAGTACTGTGAGTATTTATATACTTCCTAAAGTAGATTTAAATCTTCACCGGTAGAGATATACTCATCTTTTGTTTCTAAATTTAAGGAATGTGATCATATATATATATATATATATCTTTATTTGTATATAGAAGGAAATGCACACGTACATTGTGGGGTTACATCACGAGGAATAGTCAACTTTATGACCAAAAAGTCTACATCTAATTCTTTCTAGACCTATGGTCTGCATAATGTATCAAATAAGCAGCGATGAGGTTCGTTGTATGGCCGAGATTCCTGCCGATAGTGTTCCTCCTATGGCAAACGGTGAAATGTCTACATTCCTCAAGGAAAGTACGTATGGCTCCTCAGGTATGCACATCAAGTTTATTAGATACTCAATATGTGATCGATTTTTGAGAGAATTGAAAAAAAACTAAGTTAGTGTACTAGTACTTGTAGATGAGATGTAATTAAGCACATTTTAGCATTTGAAAACGGTCCATGCAAAATATATATGCATTCATCATCTTCTCAGTTGAGCTGCTGAAATAACCCATGTGACTAGTGAAAATTTAACAGTGTGAATTATAGACACTAATGTTCATTATAATCTCAGATACCTACACAAGTCCGTGAAATATTCATAAAAGGGATCAATGATGGAGCAAGGATGCAAGTGGTGGCAACCAAGAGCATGTCAGCTAGGTTGAGTGAGAAGAAAGGAGTGATTGTGTTAGGAGATGCATTCAACATGCGTCATCCATTAATCGCTTCTGGTATGATGGTTGTATTGTCCGACATTGTTATTTTACGTCATCTTCTCAAGCCACTGGAGAACCTTGCCAATGTTACCCAAGTCTCTCAAGTCATCAAAAACTTCAATGATATCCGAAAGGTTAGTACACGTCACACACCAATCCCTTATGCCTAAAGAGTATAAACATTAAAAAAAACTTTTTAAAACTTCAATATTGTTTGTTGAAGCCAATGTCAGCGACAGTTAACACATTAGGGAGTGCATTTTCTCAAGCGCTGGTTGCATCAAAGGACGAAGCAAAAGAGGCGACAAGGCTGCTACGATTACCTCTGTAGTGGGGGCTTCCGCACGTCAGGATTGATGGCACTTCTCGGTGGTATGAACCCTCGGCCACTTACTCTCATCTTCCATATCTTAGGCATCACTTTTACCTCCATTGGGCATTTGCTCTCTCCCTTTCCCACTCCTCTACACGTTTGGCACAGCCTCAGGCTTTTCGTGGTAAAATTAATCACTTAACCTAATCTCTCTTTCTATTGTATTGTTAGACACATGTGGCTCTATAATTATATATGCTTATTTGTCAAATGCTAGTCAACGATGAAGATGTTGGGTCACCATATCAAGGTTGAAGGTGCGAGGCAAATGCTATATCCAGAAAGCACACCCATGTATTACAGACCCTATATGGCTCAACCGCTCTCCAACTAAACGATGATGTTTCGTATTAATCCAGTTGTTTGTACTTTGGAGGCGAGAAAGTTAGAAAGACATTATCATTCACTTGCGAGGTTATTGAATGATGGGCGAATAATCTATGGTTTAGCTCTTCTCTAATAAACATGCTTGAATATGTGTATACATACATACATATAGAATCTTAGAACCGCATAAATGTTACTGTAGTAATAAACAGGTTCCCCTTATGTGAATGATATTATGGCAGGCATTTTGCAATGATGGAAAGACAGTTCCTTTTGTTTACACTCGTGAAAAATAATATAATCAAACAAATCATATATATTTAGAATTTAAAAAAAAAACAAATCACATTGGATATCTAACATTATAAAATGTAGTTTATATGCCTTAAAATGTTATTATACTATGGTTTTGAAATAACCAAGTGGCCTAAAATACTATTTATAAACTAGATTATTCCTGAATTATCCAAATTCAGGAATAATCTAAAAGCCGAAGCAAGCTGGAGCTGTTCTTGTTTCGATATGTCTTCCAAACCACTCTATGTGCAGTTTGGGCGGAGCGGAATGGGAGGAGATTTGGAGAGGAACCCAAGACTACGACGGGGCTTACAAAAATCATTGATAAACAAGTTCGAAATCGTATCTCAAGCATCAACCATCGCCACAACTCAGCTTAGAAAGGAGCTATGGGGATTTGGTTCTCCTTCAGATGACCTTTGCTTTGATGTAAATCTAGTTTTCTAGTTCTTGTGATCTTAAAACAAGCAACTTTAGTTGTAAACAGTTTTTTTTGTTCGAATTAATTTAACATTCTTTCAAAAAAAAAAAAAAAGAATTATCCAAATTTTTTATTCAAATTTTTTATTCAAATTTCTTTAAGTTATCTTAATTTTATCTAAAAACTTAAATTTCGTTATTTTTTCTAAAAGTTTGAATTATCTATAAATCATCCATACGAACAAAATCGAAAACCTAAAAATGTGAAAGGAATAAAAACTAGAAAATAATATCTGATGGTAATATTTACGAGGTACGAAGTTGGATGTGCATATTCAAAGACTTTGGTAAAAGAGTAACACAAGATTTATCAATTGTCTAAAAAAATGTATGTTCCAAACTAGTAGTACACCAATTACCCAGTAAATCAGTAAAACAATTTGGCTTTATCTAAAATGCAAAAATACATAATTTGTTGGTAGTGATACTATGTAAAATATGATAGGTGGTATGCCGGCCTCGCTCTGTACATGTGATGGGGGTGCATCTGCAATTTTTTGGAGTTTTGTATAATAAAAAATTACTTGACTAAATAGATATTAATTTATGTTTTTGCTCAAATCCCTTTTTTTATCTTTAAGACGGGTGAAGATATTACGAGGGCCAATCTAGAATTATGTGAAGTAAGCGATCGTTTAAAGCATCATAATTTTAAATAATAATTTTAATTATATATAGGATACAATATTATAAAAAATTACATGAATAATAAATGTATAAAATTTTAAGTGAGCATAAGACATAAAAAACGAAATAGGACGGTTGCATGTAGCTAGAGAGTACTGGAGAGATATAACTCGATGTCTGGTAGATACTTTGTATACTTTTTTAGAAACTATTATTGCAAATATCTCATGGAAAGGTCAATTTTTACCAACATCAAGATATTACTTCATATTTCTAAATTTTTTGGATCTCCAGTTTACCTGTATAGGTCCGTGGTCAAAGATAATATGTTTTCAGCCCAGAATTTCTGGAATTCAAGAAAAAAAAAAGTTAGTTGGTAGTTGCGACGATATTAAGAAAACATTTTAGTTTTCATTATGGTAGTTGCGATTTATTTATTGTTTTATAAGTCTTTTTTTCTACTAATAATGGTATTTACATGATCTTTAAAATACCTCATCCGTCCAATTTGTTGTTTTAGAGTAAAATTTTCGTTTTGAAATAAATGTTATTTTATAATTTTATTGCAAAATTTTATTAATTTCATACTATTTTATTTTTTATTAATTTGAAAGATAGTTAAATTTATAAGTAATAATGTTTTTATATAGAAAATATATAAAATTAAATATTTCTTAATTTATGTATATAAACCTAAAATAATAAATAAAACAAAATAGAAGAAGTAATATTTTAAGCAATGTTCGAAATAAAGAGACAATACTGTCGTATTGGGTACCGACAATATGAGGGAAATTAAAATGTTATATGGTATTTTTGTTGTCAGCAACATACTAAGATTCAATTAAGATTCTGGAAATGTTATATGGTTAATAAATCGGAACTATTTGTGTAGTGGTGAATGATTGGATTAATGAACGAAGATCTGACAATCCAAATGATTAGAAACTGGGAGAAGATTCCTTTTATTTCATCCTTGCATGCCTTTATATGACCAACCAACAATCCAACACATCTAAACGGAACCCTAGCCCATCTAATCAAATATTATTATTTTTTTCAACGGTTCTTTAAATTTTTAATATCCGTCTTTTATTTTATTATTATATTCTATGAAAATTTTAATAAGACTAACAAGAGATTGATCAATTATTATTTTATTCTATGAAAATTTTAATAAAACTAAGAGACTGATCGACACATCCGTATGGATATTAATTTTTATCTTTTTATAATTTGGTGTTTTATTTTCATAATAAGTGTTATATATATTTTATGTATTATCATATAATTAATTGTATATTTATTTAAATATATTAAGTTCTTATACATCAAAATCAAATCAGAATGAAATTGGGTAATATGATTATTTTTGATTATTTTGGGTAATTTTTAGTTTGGATTTAAATAACGAAACTAAATAGCTTAATATGGTTACTTTTGATACAAATATCTGGACATATTTCAGATATATTAGTTTTAGGATATTTTAAAGTTTCTATACATTAAAACTGAATCTATCCAGACTTAGGAAAACCTGATGTGAGATCCACCCAAAAATTTGTAATATCTGAATGGAATCTAATTCAAAACCCCCAAAAAACAATGTCTGGAAGAAATAATTGATACCTGCACAGCTATATATAACTGATTATGTAACCAATAAAACTATTTGTTAATCATTTTGAATTCTTGTCTCAGATAAAGTAATTTCATTCAAATGTCAAATTATTGTTGTTAATACATAAATAAATGATTTCAAAATATAATAGTAAAGATAACTAATGAAATCGATAAAAAGAGTAAGATATATAAAATATAATGGTGAGAGGCCCTACTTGTTGTAAAATACATTATAAAATACTAAAATATGTAAGATATATAAAATAAATAATAAAATATATTAACGTAGGTAAGTTATGTTTTATACTTTTGTAATATATACCCTATTATAATAAATGATGTCAGATTATTTAGAAAAATAATAAATGAAATATTTAGAATTAATTAAAAATGAAATGAAATCTGTAACAAATAACTTAAAATTAGATAAGTATTGTTTTGTAGTTCAATTTTAATAGATTAAATTGATAACATTGGATAAAGTAGAATCTTTATAATATATATGCGTGCCAAGAAATATTATCTGGAAAACACTAATTAAGGTGATGATTTTCATAACGTTTATTGATCTAAAAAAACATTTCTAGATTAAAAACATGATCTTACCATTTTTATTAGTATCCATTACATTTCAAGTTTTCGAAAGTTATATTGTTATGTACCTATTGAAGATATAACTATAGACAAAATCTTCTTTATTTTTACATCATTAAATTTGTAATTAAAGGAATGGCCTATAAATGTGTAGTTTTATACAATGTGTTTGTTTAAAATCCACAAAACATGTAATAATTCGATTATTGATGGGTGACTTATCTGAGCTTCAACCTTTTTTTTCTTTTTGTCAGCGAGCTTCAACTTATTGAATCGGTTTGACTTAATTAAGAGAACAAAATATATTCATATATGCGTATGTTACATGAGTGCTTGAATCCAGTTGACATTTCATGTGATCGGTTAGAGACGTAAACCAAAAATAAGAGGTAAAAAGTGGGACACCACTCACCATCATCATTATCTAAGGAATCTAAAAGCGATTGTAGTTGATTACTGTTTTCATGCCATACGCATAAACTATATAAATATATATGCATACAATGAGTTTTATTTGGGTGATTGACTTTGCTGGTGAAGTTTACTTGCCTCCGCTTCTAACCCAAAACAATAATACTAAAATTTTATTTTATAATCCTTCCTTTATGATATAAACTAGATTTTGACCCGCGATTAAAAGCGCGGAAATTTTTTATGATTAAAAATTTATATAATGGGGTTTTGTCTTAATTTAAAGAATATTTTGATATAAGATCAGTTCACCAAAATTTGTGGTGATGATTGTTTTTCATTAGTTTTTAGTTTCACTTTTTATTTTTAGATTTTGGTTTTTAGTTTTTAAGTTTCTACTTTTCATTTTCAGTTTTTGGTTTGAGTTTTAATTTTTAAACCCGCTGAGTTAGTTTGAACATATATTACCAACAAAGAAATCTCAGAAATTTTTTATGATTAAAAATTTATATAATTGGGTTTTGTCTTAATTTAAAGAATATTTTGATATAAAATCAGTTCACCAAAATTTGTGGTGATGATTGTTTTTCATTAGTTTTTAGTTTCACTTTTTATTTTTAGATTTTGGTTTTTGGTTTTTAGTTTTTAAGTTACTACTTTTCATTTTCAGTTTTTGGTTTGGGTTTTAATTTTTAAACCCGCTGAGTCAATTTGAACATATATTACCAACAAAGAAATCTCAAATAATCAAACATCTAATTTAAAACTGAAAAGATGAAAAAAAATTTAAAAAAAAATTGAAATAGTTTATTTTGTAAATAAACAAAGCAAAAAATATAATATGTGTTTTCAGCTTTTGGTTTTGGATTTTAGTTTTTAGATTTGGTTTTTGGTTTTTCTTTACATTTTTAATCAGTAAATTATTTAAGAAAAATAAAACAATAAATTATTTAAAATTTACAATTGAAATTTATCAAAACAAAGTGATTGTTATTTAAAATTAAAATATATATTAACATGTTTTAAAGTACATGATTTAAATAAATGATTAATAATAGATAATCTTGTTTTGTTAAAAATATTAAATACCTTTTGGGTCTGAAAATAATAATTGATTTTTGATCTTTTAAGGTGGAAAATTTATTCAATGTTTTTTGGAGTTTTTTCTTAATACTAAGCCCAAAAACCAAACTATATAATTTGTTCAAAAAATAAAAGTAAGTCCAAGACTATATTTCATAAATAACCACTGGTTTAATTTAAGTATAATTAGTAGATTTCCATATTCCATATTTTGATGATATATATTCTTTTAGAACATTCCATATTTGTAGGAAAAAAATATGTGTTTTCGGTATACACATAGATATCTGTCATATTTTGAAGGTAGTTTACATTAAGGTCGTCTTTTTACATTAATTGTGTTGGTTTAATTTAAGTAATACGGTTCAATCAGTTATATAACTTATATTATTTGTAACATTCTAGAAATGTTCCAAACTTAAATGACAACTTGTATCAGTAGATAAAAAGAATGACTCTATTTTAATAGAATAGATATATGATCAACTTAATAATTTGAGGTCAAAGCGAAGTTTGTACTTTTGCAATTTTGTACTCCTAATCCTATCCATCTATTTAGCTCTCTATATATATGCTTCAGATTAAGAAGAAAGAGTAAAAAGAGAGAGAGATACAAGATGGAGAAGAAGAAGACAGAGCTTCAAGCCGCCATAGAAGAGCTCTCTGTTGTCATAATAACTAAACCTCCAGACAATGAAACCACACATATACCCTTGGCGCCTCTTCTCTCCTTCTGCAACTTAATAATTCAAGTTCTTGGTATCCTTTTTTTCTTAGAGAATATTCTTCCTTAATACATCAACTTTTAGGGTTCCAAAACGGATCGGTATTGTCTCGATTATTGTTCTGAGCTGTTTGTGTTTGCAGATAAGATAGGACCGACAATGGCTGTTCTTAGACAAGACATCGATCAAAATATTCAGGTAACCAAAGATAATGTAAATACAAGATAAAAAAACCCTTTACATTATTTTAAATTTATCTTCTTTTTATTGATTGGAACACATCAAACATCATGTGTACGTAATTGAGTATGTATGAATGGTGAGTCTCTTATACTATTGATTAAATCTATGCAAAAGGCCTATTGAACTTTTATGCTGATAAGAACACCTAATCGTTCATACAAAGATATCTTCAATAATTCAATATCAGCCTTGTGTAGTTGCTTATTTGGTTGCTTTCAAAAGTACTTTAGTCAATTTTGAAATGACTTTCTATAAAATAGCTAATCTTGTTTTCCTTCTTTTGTGCATTTCAACTATCACATTCATATGATTTTATTATTTATTGATTTGGGTGGTGTAGAGATTGGAGAAGGTTTGCGAAGCAGATCCTTGTGTTTACTCCAATTTGGTTGAGATTCTGAAGAAAGAAAGGAACGAGGGGACATACAAGATGGTTGCTAGTTGCAGTAGAGCCATTCTTTGGCTCACTAGGTATTCTCGTTTTTAAATATTTTATAGTCTATACACAATAATCAATTTGGCTGGCCTGCATGCATATTATTTTCTTATTACTAGTTACTAGTTTTTGCTTATGTAAAAAAGTTAGAAACAAATGGTCATATGATGTACTTATAACAACATGTATCATGTATTTATTTCGTATGTTTTTGTACCTAAGTATCATATCAAATTTTGGAGAAAAGCAGAGATAAATCTAAAAAAAAAATCCTGATAGTTTAGTTGCTACATAAATGTTAAATCATTCTCTAAATAATATAGTTTTCAGTATTTTTTTTTACAAATATAATTTTCAGTATTTAGACAGACTGTTTCTTACTATTTTCTATCACATAGGACAATGGATTTTACTGCGGGTTTATTACTATTGTTGTCCAACAATATGTCCTCCAAAATGGAAGAACTTGTAGAAGAATGCTACATGGAGACTTTAAAACCGCATCATGGATGGATCGCGTCTGCTGCTTTCAAAGTACGCAACATAATCACTCTCTTTCCATAACACCCCATTAGAATTTGTTAAACTTTCTTGCGCTTGTAGGTTTTGATATCTTGTTCAATATGTAATAATAAAGGTGTGCTTGAAGCTAGTGCCTGACAATAAAACCTTTATAGACGCAATCGGTGCAAGAGACCAGAGCTATGAGACCCTTAGAGAAGACATTGATACATTAAGCTCATTGTTGACACCTATTCTCAAAGAAATCTCCATTGTTCTGGTAATTACTATCAGCATAGACATCTTATTATACACATCGTTTTCAAATTTCTAGTTAGGCTAATAGATTTATGATTATTTTGAATGGTGCTTCATTTTCTCTTATCAGGAACAATACGGGTTGAACAGATTAAAGTCGAAGTAAAAGATGGATTCAGAAGGAATCTAATTATTAAATAAGGTTTCCGTCAAAGTGATCATTTTATTCACGAAAATGTACCTTTGTATGTATATATCAGTTTTATGAATATTTGTTTAATCATGCAAACTAAAAGGATTTCTTCTTTTAAAATTAGATTGTACCCAGTAAATTCATCTTATGTATAGAACCTTGTCTATATATGAGAGTTGTGTACAATATAGCAAGAAAAAAACATTATACAATAGACATAAGAATGTTATACAATATAGTAAGAAAGGTAGACTCATATTATACGATATATATAGTAATAAAACTATGAAAATATATGTTTTTGGTAATAAATCAAAGAAATGATGAAGTTGTATCAGTTTTTTTTAAAAAAATCGATTGAAATCATGTCTGAACGTTTGTCTTTTAATCATGTAACCTTATAGTAAGCCCATTACATTATAAGGTTAGATGGCCCATATATATAGATTTGGGCTTCAAAGTGTTCAAAGATCTCCTCCTCCTACTCTCTTCTTCGCTCACCTCGACAGAACATGTTTCTGAAGTCGTGTTCAGATCGTTAACTGTCCTGTCCTTACAAGTCTTTAGATCTTTGCTCAACAAACTCTTCGGTCAACGTTTTTGATGCAAAGCTTTTACCTCTAGACTGGATCAAAAGTCTGCACCTTTTCCGGTAAATTTTCCCACTGAAATAATATTTTTGATGATCACACGCATTGATCTCCCTAAATCTGATCTGGGTAAATGCTTAATCTCCCTTCATTGGTTGTGTCATGAATAAATATCCATTTGTGTCTTCGAGTAATAATCCCAACAAGGCATCATACTATGCGTACCAAAGAGGTAACGATTTTGATCTAGAAACAGGTTCTGTCAGAAAATCTAGAAAGCCCACCAAGACTTCGTTTCCCAAAATGTTCAAATCTCTCGGAAACCGTCTCCACCACTTGTTTAAACTCCACCCAGTCCTCGTTTTCATCGTCCTCGTCTCCTTTGGGATCACAGTGTTGATCTTTATATCGTCAAGTCAGTTTCCATCAGCGGTTAGTTACAAGAAGAACGATTTGGATAACGATGTTTATCCGTTTGCGAATCTGAAAAACCTCGTGATGGTTGCTGGACATTCTGTTTACACGAGTAGTAACTGTGGTAAGATGGATAAAGAGGAGTCGTGGTTCCTGGAGTCTTACCAGAAGCATCCAGGTCAGGCTGCGACGTTCTTGAGTCACATAGAGGAAGGTGTTGAAGCTGCAGGTAAAGATGAGGAGGCTTTGCTTCTGTTTAGTGGAGGAGAGACTCGTAAAGAAGCTGGACCTAGAAGTGAAGCTCAGAGTTATTGGGCTGTCGCTGAGTCTAAAGGATGGTTTGGTGAGTCTAGTTATGTTAGTTTGTGCTCTTTATTACATTGTATGGTAATATTGTGGTTTTGTTTGTGGTAATGGATAGGCAAAGATGATGTGAGGTCAAGGGCATTGACGGAAGAGCATGCTAGAGACAGTTTTGAGAATCTTCTCTTTAGTGTTTGTAGATTCAGAGAGCTCACAGGCTCTTACCCACACAACATAACAGTAAGACCTTCTACTTTTAAATGTTTCACTCTCTAGTCTCCATCAGTATTGTGAATATTAATGTATATCTTTGATGCTTGGATCAGGTAGTGAGCTATGATTTTAAGGAGGAAAGATTTGCGCATTTACATCGTTCAGCAATGGGGTTTCCGGAATCAAGATTCAGATACTTGGGAACACCAGCTTCACTTGAATCCAAAGAAGGCGCTCTGAAAGGGGAAGCTATGGTTAGAGCTCAGTTTCAAGAAGATCCATACGGATGTGTTGGTTCGCTTTGGCGTAAGAAGCTGAAGCGTGATCCTTTCCATAGGACTATACCTTACCCTAATGGATGCCCTGAGATTAGAGGGTTGTTCAGGTACTGTGGTTCAGCTCCTTTTCCTGGCTCTCTCCCATGGGACTGATCTGTGTATCAGACCTATACTAGACTTGCTTAGAGGAACAAATAATTGATGTAAGAGCTTGGTCTCTTTTTGTTTTTGTGGTTTACTTTCATTAATGTAAAAGAGAAACTTCAGAATCTTTTTGAACTATAAACTGTATTAAAATGCTATTTACATGGAATATATTACAAGATTTCTATCCAATAAACATCTCTATATTTAAGTTTTTATTTGATAAAAACACGCTTTTCGATCCTCCATGTTCATTAATCAAAGGAAACAACAACACAAATGAAAGAAGAAGAAAAAGAATGGTAATGGAGTAGTTATTACTAAAGAAACAACGGGGAGCTCTGTCTCAACGGTTTGTTGTTCTAATTGTTTGGTTTGGAGGAAGAAGAAGATGACTTCCTGTTTTTGGCAAAGTCAACGAGGTCTTTGAAAAGGATATCTTCTGGTTTGTCATCTTTCGTTGGTGGTGTAGCAGCAGCAGAGGCGGTTGGATTCAGAGAAAGATTCCTGGACTGTCCCACGAGATCCTCGTAAGAGGAATCAGAACCATTGCTTGTGTGTTGAGGAACATTGCTATGCTGGGAGTATTGTTGCCTCTGGCTGGTCCTAACAGACATTGGTGGTGAGAAAACCTTGGTTCCTTCAGAATCCCATGGAGCACGAGGTAACTGCTCAGTTTGTTGGTCATAAACTGGTTTGGTGAACAGAGCTTGCTCAGGAGATTTGCCACGGGGAGGAGCTGGATCGTCGAAAACAGGAGCAGAAGAGTCTCGATCTGATGAATGGGAAGTACTTGGAGGCTTTAAACTCTCTGAGGTTTCTTGAGGTTTGTAGACATCACCACTGAGGAAGTCCATAGCACCAGATTCAACATGTACTGGCCTCATTGTAGGTGGTGGTGGAGGAAGAATAGGGTTGAAACTTCCTCGTGCACTCTCTCTTTTCGACCTGCAGAAATGAATTCAATGAATTTTTGGAATCCAAAGTCTTGGGATTCAAATAAAATGAGAAAAGGATGGTCATTAGCATTACCTGTGAGATAGCTGAGCAAAATCATCATCTGACTCATCATCTTCATCATGGTTGATGCTAGCGAGCGGTAAAGGAGTGGGAACTGTTGCAGGAACAGAGTTTCCCTTTGCCTTATCATCATGTTGCTGAAGAACACGCTGCAACTTGTCGTTTAATGCCAATCCTTGACACAGAAGCGCCTCATCTCTGCAAAAAAAGGAAGGCGTCTCTCTCTCTTCTTTAACAGATTTTATCAAATTGAGTAAAGAACAGGAGGATGAAGGAGAAAACAAACGAGTCCTTACGATGTAGTGTTGACCAGAGTCATTACACGTCTTTGATAAGTACGGCACTGCTCGACTAAATCAACTATAAGCTCTTCCTTTAAACCCTGTGACATTAGCAACAATAATGAGTTTCAATATCAGATCAAACAGCAGAGCCATTAAATCTAATCCTACCTCGGGGTGGCTTGGATCCAGAGCCCCAAGCATGTCTGTCAAAATATCAACTGATCCCTGAGCGCTTTGGATCTCTTCCAAACTAGAAAAGCAAAGATACTAACAAGCTTGAGACACAGAATATGGATCTATCAATCAGAACAGGTCTAGGAAACAAGAGAGTACCTGAGTGCAGAAGCATCATCACTTTGCAAAGAGGCCTGAATAGCAGCATCTTCATCTGATGCAACAGCGTGAGCAATAATAGGCTGAGTCTGAGGTGGAGTAAAGAAAACACTGCTCTCGGTTCGAGGTGGGAACTCAATTCCAGCTGACTAAAGTTTCCCAAAGGAAAAACCGGTTATCAAAACTTTGATACACAGTAAATAGAGTACTGTACATACATAAAAAGGGGTCAAGATACATACCCTGAGTTCATTATAAGCATTGTAATACTGAGGGAATCTACCACCGCTTCCACCAAAAGCTTCTTGCCATGTATCTAATAAACTAAGTATCTTCTCTTTTACACTCAGGTCCGGCTGCATAAGTGATAAATGTAGGGTAAGCGAATTGGATAATAGAACTGGATTATAGAGAGCGGGTAAGTAAAAGAACCTTTTTCTTCACTATTTTGAGCATATCAGGCAAGATATCACGTTCCACGATAAGCTGGTACACGCTCTCTCCACAGTTCTTACTCAGAGTTTCCAATGCCTGAACCAGTATCCCACGAGCATTCACGAATGAGAAGATTCAGTACAGTAAACGGAACCAACGCAGTGTGTGTATCAACGAAAGAGTGGACTTACATAAAGAGCGAGAATCTGAACTTTAGAATTTTTACTTGCTAACCGTTTCTTGAGTACCTTCACTGCTTCTTTTGCTTGACTACAGAAACAAAATACCCTCAAAAAACTTAGCCTAAACTCAATCAGAGAAAAGTAACTAAAACGCGTAGTTGTGAGAGTGAGAAGACATGAAACGATGTTATTACCTAGGATCCATGTTGATAATATCACAGAGCTCAATGTTGATAGCCCAATCAGGACCAATCAGCATATCATTCGTAGCCCTCTCAGCACAAGCAGCCGCGTTATTCGCCATTGCAAGATCGCTCTTTCAGTCAAATCCTAGAGTTGAAAACATCAATTATATAGCTACTTCTTAAACCTCTAGACAAAACAAAGCCACAGTTTAAAAAGAAATAAAGATGCCAAAGACTGTAATTCACATCACTGAGATCAAAGACTAATACAGAAAACAAAACCAGCAGATCACGACATGTTTACAATCAAACAATCAAGAAAGTGTGAATCAAGGAAGAGAACCGAATCAAACACAAACATAACAGGACTTTTTTACCTGTCTGTGGACTCTTTATAATTGAGAATGGATGATAGACCGAGCGAAGATTGTGAGCGTCTCGCGATCGAGAAGACGAAGACAATTTTAAGAAAATTCTAAATTTTGGTATGTGAACACGATCGGGCTTAAGTGTATGTATGTATGTATGTATCAGCAGGTCATCGTCATAAAATCAACTGCGTCTTCTTTGTTCTGCAAGATGCCAACTTCTCTATCACTAATGCTAACGTAACGGTCGGTGACAAAGAAAATAAAGAAGGTTGAAAGTAATCTTTTATATTATAAAAAATAGAAGTCAGTTGACAATTATGTGAATGACATGTGTCATTTGAAAATCTTATTGTGTTCTTTTTTTCAAAATTGTTGTTAATGTCAATCCTCGTATATATTAAATGAGAAGTCACTTTAGTTATTTCTGGTGACGTCTCGCTCATAGGTGATGTTTCAAAAAATTGTTATAATTTGATTGGTCAATTGTTCTTAATTTTTATTTATTTTATTTAGATCTAAATATTTAAGTTAAGTCTAAAATCATTTAACATCACTTGCCATATAATCTAAAGAATATTACAAATAACAATTTATGGAAACTAATTCTCGAAATTATAGAAAGATTAATAATGTTTTATTTATTACTTTTAATATTTACTCACTTAATCAATATTTTTAGGTGTCTTTGAGTTTTAGAAAAACTATTATAATTTGATTCGTTAATAAATTTTCTATTTTATTTATTTTATGAGTAAGAAAATCAATTTTATGAGTAAGAAAATCACTTCTACAACCAATTTTTATCAGTATCCTAACGACATAAATATATTTCATAAATATATTTCATAAAATAATTTATGGTAATTAAATATGTGATTTATATAAAATATATAAAAAATGAAATCCTCTTAAATCTTTGATCCAATAAGACCCTCTTAGATTTGAAGAAAATCATGGTAGATTATTTTTTCCATATAATTATATTCAGAAAGTTATTATTTTAAATTAATTAAATTATTTTTGGGGGAGATATATATTGGTGTAGTCTATTAAATATATTGGTGAATCTTAGTTAATATTCGTAAAGGTGATCCTAATAATGGTTAAGTGGACATCACTCCATCTTATGAAGACCACATATCTCATGATGCACCAATTAAACCACACTAACCGGTTTAGAGGCAACCTTCTTCACTTAAATTTTTTAATAATTTTATAAAAATATTATATTTTCTATTATATATGTTGGTTTTGCAATACACCTATAAGCTTTGTTTCAATTATACCGATTTAATTAAAATGATATGGAATACTGGTTAAATTAAATGGTTATAATTGAAATCGGTTTAATTTTAATATACATTTGTGATTTAAAGTTATATCGATTTATTTAAAATGATTAACGGTCGAGATATGTATATCAATCTGGTTAGATAAGCTTTGGAATTGTAATTAATTATTTTTAATTAATTTTTAATACAGGTGAAAAATCTGTATAACTACAAAAGTCAAACTATATGATATGATTTTCTTAGGAAATATTAATTAAGCATACATTTAATTAACCAATATCAAATTATAATTTTCGTATAGCAAAAATATATGCAAATCTAAGTAAAATTCCTTATTACTTGGTCATTAATTCGTTATTGCTACTATATAGTATAAAAGTCTATACAAATGATATTGCATTAAATGTACATTTTTCAACATGTTCATTATTAGTTAATTCATGAATTGTTATTAGTCCTTAGCAATTATTGGAAACCTAATTATAGCAATATAGTTATAATATTTTTCTCTAAACTGTTTCATGATTAGTTTTAATCTAGGTGATATTCAGTTTTACTCTTACATTTTAATTCATATATATTACTACTATACATTAAATATTCGAATACAAATGTGATCTTATTTGTATTTATTTTTTTAAATATTCCTAATTAGTTAATTCCATAAATTTTAATATTCTTTTTGTTCTAAATTATTTGTGATAGTTCATATATGCAATTATTGCGAACCACATTATAGCAATTTAGTAATGCATTCCCACAAACTCCTTCGCCATTTTAATGTACATATCTTTGGAAGTTTAGCATAAGGCATATAAATATATTATGCTAATAACTCTCAAACGTGGAAGTTTGAGAATATATAAAGTTGGTCAGGGTCTTACACTACAAACATTAAAGCTATGTTGATAATTCAAAAAAAAAAAAAATAAATGGCAATGGTTCAAAAAAATACATGGAATATTGAAGTTAGGATTATTCGTCTGTGAAAGAATTATAGCAAAGCGACCGGAGACACTATTGAAATGGTATTTGCTGATAAAGAAGTAAGAACTGAAATCATTTTTAACTTTGCCTATTGAACCGTAACTATTCTTATTATTAGAAAAATATTAAAATGTTTACAACCACGTTAGTAAAAGATTTCATTTCAAATCTCTTTTCTCTTCAAAAGGTTTAATGTTGCAGCCTTCAGAATAAATATCTCAGGGTTCTGGGGGGTTCTTCAAAAATTCCTTTGTCTAACAGAAAAAAACAATAAGAGTGAGGCAGTGATGTTGAGGATCAGCACCCTATAGAACAATCGCAATATGCTAGACATTTTCCATATGTGGTGAGATTCTCTATAAAACTTTTGTGAATGCTAAGATAAGAGTTTGCAGCATTACCTCTTACACCTATTTCACATTGTTTAATATTAAAATGTTTACTTCCACATTGGCAAGAGATCTCAATTCAAATCTCTTTTCTCTTCAAAAGCTTTTATTGTTGCAATTTAAAAAGGAAATATCTAAGGGTTCTGGTGGTTTTTACCAACTCTTTTGTCTAAAAAAAAAAGAAGCCAATAAGAGCGCGAGACAATGCTATTGAGGATCAGTTCTCTGTCAACAAAAAACACTCTAAAAAAATCAAAAGCAAGTGAAGCTGGAGAAATGGAAGAAGAATCTATTCTTTTTTTTTGTTGAACACCAGTTCACTTACTGTTATTTCTTGAATTTGGTTTCTTATTTTATTGGCTTTAATTATTATTTATTTTCTCAAAGAAAATAACATTATATCTCTTGCAATTACTTTTTGATTAACACCTAATAAATAGTTGAAAGAAACTATATTATCCTATTATCTCTTTCTGTATATTTTGAAATACAATTTAATTAAACAATCAATAATGATTAGTTACATGTGGTTCAAGGCAAAATATTTGCAAAACAAACAAAGCTAAGGACAAATGAGATATACCAACAAGCTTTAGTTAACTTCTAAATAAAAGACTTATATACAACACAATTTCACTTATTGACAATATAGTAGGATACACAACTTCTAAATTATTTTTTTCCATCTTAATTTGATTAATAAAGGATCAAATCCCAAGATACACAATCACCAAAACCCATAACAAAAGGACATTACAATAAAAATCGACATGGGGCCGAAAACCCAAAATTGAGAAAACTCTAATGTAGATACACTCTTCGACGGATCTGTATAAGCTTCCGCCTCCCAAAATAAAAACATCACCCTGTTGAAACCAAAACAAGAGATACACCAAACCTTCTCTACTAAAGATCTATAAACGAGATATAAAACCAAGGACAATCTAAAGCCGGACCGACGGTGGCTGTGGAAACCCACTCCATCGCCCGGAATCACTAAACACAGTGACTTTTTTTATCTCACAACTTCTAAATATAAACACTATAATTTTCATTATTTTAGATATTATATGCCCGCACATGCGGATCAGTCACCTAATTTTATTATTTTAGATATTATATACCCGGTCACCTAGTTTCTTTTAAAACAATTAAATTATTAGAAGGTTATTTCTAGCCAAATCGTCTCCCACTGTCTCTATTGTCCTACGATCTCCACTTCCTATGACCTTTAAAAGGTGTTGTTATATTTAACTGAAATCATAATTTTACCTTTGAAAGATTGAAAAGAAAACAACGGTTTGTTTCACGTAAAATTCAGAGAACTCTCAAAACACATGTATTTATTTAAAGTAAAAACTTTCTATCCCGCAAACACATGTACTCGCTGGATATAGACATCGAACAAGATCACCAACTCCTCAAGATCTAACAGTCATGGCGAACAAATCTCTAACATTCCTCCTATTAACGTTTGCCAACTGTTTTCATCTCCCAAATGCGTTCAAGTTCTTCATCAGAAACAGTTGTTAACTATTAAAGGTATGTATCTCTCTATATATATACTCATTCAAATGATAACCAGTGGCCCTCTTATAATTTTAGTGTTATGAATTAAAGGTCGTCAATACCAAGGAGATACAACCATACGAGGTAGTTATTTTTTATTTTTTAAAATGTTTATTTTAACTTATTTTGAAAACATGTTTTAAAGAACAATTTTAATTTTTATGGTTTTATTCTTTTTTTTTCCATCAGCTGATTTTTCCATCAATTTTTATGGTTTTATTCATTTGGTGATTCTGACAAACTTCATTTGTTGTATAGGAAAAAAGACAGAAAATATTATCCAATGTACACACAAACAGTAACGACCATCACACAAAAAAATATGTTACGTTCACATACAATAAAAAGGTATTTTTTACATTGATTTTCTATTTATATTCAGACTTTTTTTACATTTCGTATCCATTACATGGTTATATTAAAACATGTGTTAATATAAATACATTATCATCGTTTTGATGTAAATGTAGGAGATTATATTTTTCTTTTTGGGTTCTCTACAAGTATTTTTAATATCCTTTTTGCAAAAAACTTCAGGATAGCTTATACTCCGGGATATAGAAGTTTTTAATGTATCAAACCAAAACCTTATTTAAAGTGATCGAACCTGTTGATCTTAAATCACACTAAGTCGAATGTTTTCATTGGTTCACGTTTCACGTAGTTTTGATCTATTTGTGGTTTTCTATATAGATTTATATTTAATATAATGTTTTTTTATTTTAATTTAATAATTATTTTGTCTCTGCTATATTCATATTTAATATAATGTTTTTATGTTTGATTTTATAATTATGTTGTCCCTGTATAGCAGGGGTATAATACTAGTAAGTCAATAAAATATTATTGGGAAAATCGCATAAAAAACCTTCAAGGTGGCAACCACTTACACTTTAAACATTGAGAGTATTTTACAAGCACTTTAAACACTCAAGTTGGCAAATTTAGCATATTAAACCTCCAATCTGGCTTACTTGTACATCAAGTTAAAAATGTGACCGGTACTATTCATAAGCGATGACGTGTCGGTTTGTTTTTTTCTTAAAAAAAAATATTTTACTAATAAATAAATATAAAAATACAGAAAATAGAAAATTCATTAAAATTCATTAAAAATCATTAAAAATTCATTAAAAATCATAAAAATTCAAAAAAATCAGAAAAATCATTAACATTAAAAATCACAAAATAAATAAAATATTTGACTAATAAAATATTAAAAATAAGAAAAACTTAAAAAATTATAAAAAATCCCAAAATAAGAAAATTCACAAAATTTTAATAAAATAAAAATTAAATTTAAATAAAACAAATATAAGAATAATAGATAAAATAAATATTAATTCAAGAAGAAATAATTTTATTTGTTTTATAAAAAAACGAGAAAACACTATATATTTTTTTTAAAAAGAATCATTATCTTCAAATGATTCTCGTGAACCAAATCAAAGCAAACAAATTAAATTCCAAATCATTTTTTTCTCATTTTGTTGCTTATTAGTCGAGGTTTTCTGGATTTTATAACTAGATTAATACAGGGTATTTTAATAACTGCTAAAAGACTTGGATTTTAACTTGTTTGTTTTGATTTGGTTCACGAGAATCATTTGATGGTACATATCAAATACGATTAATTATACGATGACATATATATAATATATAATAGTGACACAAAAAAAATAACAATATAATTTAAAAAAAACTTATGCAGGTGAAAGTCTAGGTGCTAAAAGACTTGGAATTTAATTTGTTGATTTGATTTGGTTCACTAGAATCATTTGAAGATAATGATTTTTTTTTTAAAAAAATATAGTGTTTCTCATTTTTATAAAACAAATAAAATTATTATTCTGGAATTTATATTGATTTCATTTATTATTCTTCTATTAATTTTATTTAAGTTTAATTTTTATTTTATTTAGATTTTTGTGAATTTTCTTATTTTTTTATAATTTCTTGTAAGTTTTTATTATTTTTAATATTTTATTAATAAAATATTTTAATTATTTTGTGACTTTTTAATATTTATGGTTTTTATGATTTTTTTTTGAATTTTTATGATTTTTTTTTAATTTTAATGAATTTTAAATATTTTTAATGAATTTATATATTTACTGTATTTTTATATTTATTATTAAAAAAATATTAAAAAAAAAAACTGACACGTCATCGTTTTTGAACAGTACCGGTCACCTTTTTGACTTGATGTACAAGTAAGCCAAATTGGAGGTTTAATATGCTAAATTTGCCAACTTGAGTGTAAGTGGTTGTCACCTTGAAGGTTTTTTATGCGATTTTCCCAAATATTATTCTTAAATTTCATTATTTTGTTGTTGAGAACCGTCTATTTCAACCGCTGTGCGAATAAAACGCGTTTCCGAACCCACCGATAACGAAGACGCGCGTTAGGACGAGAACATCCATTCAACACACAAATTTCTTTAAACAAAAATAAAAGAGTTTTAAACTCTGCTTTTAAGGCAGAGATGGAGTATTATTAGTTTTAATCTTTTAGTGCATAAAGGAAGAAGGCTAATAATAAGTGGTAGACCCAAAAAGACAAAGTTAAGCTACACATGCAGTACATTAAGGATTCAAAATTCCATAATTTGAGAGACTAATCAGTGCACATTAAACTCTATTTACATAATTAATATCGTATCCAAAACGATCCATATGCTTACAAAAAACAGAAGCAAAATTTAGGAGAAAAGTTGTCATCTTCGTCGCACATTCAAAGGTTTTCATTCTCTCCGGTCTCATCTCCACTATTCTTGGAACCATTCCGAAGAAAGCTTTATTAAAGTAAGCCAAGAAGCTGGCTTAGGCTCGTGAACGTACACTCCAGAGGAAAGACAACAAGCAGCTTCTTTTTTTATCCCTGCATTTTGGTCCAACCCCCATAAGTTTCCATAAACGCTCAATTAGGCTTGGCTTATGCACTATGATCAATCTCATTCAGACAGATAGTCCTAGGCTATATCTTAACATCAATTGGTTTATTAGGATTATGAGCTACACACAAGATAAAAAAGTCTTAAAACTAGACAAGAACATTTCAATTTCCATACAACCAACAAACCTTTTTCAAACATACCTTATAATGTTACTGCTGTTACTATTGCTACTACCACTCCTCTTTGTGCTCTCACTTCCTCTCGAATCAGACAATCTATTCCACCAATCTCTATCCTCTGTTTTCACAGACTCATCAGAGATCGAAGGTCTCGGTGAAACCTGAGAATCTTTAACAGAATCCTTCCCCTTCATCTTCTTCTTCGTCTTCTTACTCGTATCCTTCTTAGATCCAAAGCTAAACGGAAACATCATTTTCAGAAGAAACCCACTGTTACTATTTCTACTCGGTTCAGCCCGTTTAACACTCTTCGTCTTCCTCACAACCTTACTACTTCTCAGAGGCAACTCATCGAAGATCTTCCTCTCATTCTCATCTTTCCCCCTTACTTCAACAAGATCCTTCAAGGAAAGCTCGTAACACGACTCGGGCATCTTACTAACCATCTCCATAAGCTCTCTTTGGCCACGAGCGATAGCCTGAGCCTTTGAATCCGGAGAAAGGCTTGAGTAATCTTGGGGACGGTGACGAGGAGGACTTGTACTCCACAGAGTAGGAGAACAGACGCCGGAGTCTGAGTGATCATTAGGAATACTTGGGAAACACAAGTGGTGACTGTAGGTTTTAGCTGAAGGATCTAACATTGCGATCTTGCAAGAACGAGAGAGAGAGAGAGAGAGATCTGTAAGTGAGTTATGTTCGGAAACAACTCGTTGGTAGTTACAAAAGAGAGAAATATATGTATCTTGCTTGACCCGTTCATGTGAATCTATAGTAGTATATACGGTAATACTATTTATAAGGGTTTTTTTTATTTTCTTTTCCAAGTTAAATAAAGTTATCTCTGTGAATATCTTGAAAAGATTTTGGGCTTTAATTTGAATGTCACGTTGTAATCTCAGAGTGGTTAGGTTTAGTATTTAATTTGGAGAAGGTGTTGCTGTCAATTGGGGTTTAATATGATTCGCTGATGGTAACGGGATTTGAGGAAGGCTTAAGGGATTAGAAGTCTTAAAAGTCAAGCTCTTCTAGATAGATGATTAGATTATCCTCCCCCCAAAAGTCTACCATGGGTATTTGATAGTTTTTTCTTCTTTTGTTTCTTTGGACTCAGAGGTCATAACTTAGACAAGGGACCATCAAGTTAGAAAACGATGTATATGTTAAAAGAGATTATATAATGATGTGATCATTTTCTAAAATCTGGAACATAGGGCTGAAGTAAGAAAGTTATGTACGTATTACAGCTAGAAAGAAAGATAAG